TTTTGAGGAAACCCTGTAATTCTTATGATTCTGTGAAATACGCATTTCCATGGGCTCTCCTGACAACCAGAAAAAAACCCTGTGTGGCAGGAGCGAGTGTCCAGTGGATACGTTCTTGCAAGAGCAATCTATTGTTCAGGACGCCACTGTCAGGAGCTGAGAATGAACACTGGAAGCAAGTTTCTAAGTCATTAAGATGGTCCTGTATTTGCCTAGCAGAAGTTTTTTGAGCAAGCCTCTTTGAGAGCCGGCATTTGAACAGGTAAAGTGGTATCCCCACAAGGGAAAATTAACCAGCAAGGTCTTATAGTCTTACAAATGAATCAGACTTTGTGAAAGCACCTTAAACAAGTAGATCTCCGTGGTTTTTAAATAGACAATAGGGAGGGAAGAGACACGCCATGGTAAAGATCAGTTGGGAAATGTATAAAAGCCTAAGAAGGATGAATTAAAGCAGAGTGTTTGCATTGTGGCTGACAATGCTTACAACACGATGAATGTTTGCCAGCCCATCATGGGCAAATGTTTGTATGTTCGTATGCTCCTGCCTAATCAGGTTCACAGACATCACCAAGAAGAAAATTCTTCAAAACACCTACAGGCGATGAAAAATTGTTTGCATACATCTTCAAGAAGAAAAGTGTGCTAAGAACAAAGAACTGGTCCTGAAACTCTTATTGAGGACTTAGGCAGAACATTTCTGTCCACGAAGACAGAGGGAAATAGGACAAATTGTTGCCACCAGCCAGTGCATGCGCCTGCAAAGACCTTGAGATCTGAAAGTCCAAGATGATGAAAAACTGAAACGTAAGGAAAAGCCACAATAGATGGTAACTACTAAAATGCCCTAATTATACAGAAATCAATAAATTTGGGGGCATTTTTTCTCATATCTGCTGATCTCTGTTTTGGTCCATGGAGAACACAGACTCTATGGGAATTGGACTTGTTTTAACCAGACAGTTAAAAGAGTCTTTCGTTTTCAAGTTTTTACCTGATTCTCAAACTCTAGCAAATCCAATATCTTGACTTCTGAAAATTCTGCATCTTATAGAATTGCTTTACACACACAATTGAAAAACGAGAAGTAAATCTAACCAGCAATTTTGTAATTATTCTCTGCATAAATGGTATTTGCTACACTTTTCATTTTTTACTATAGTAATCTGGATATAATTTTATAAATTGGGTAAGTACATAGTACATTTTTAGTTCATCAATTAGCAGTGAGTTAAAATTCTTTAAGTGAGGCTATAAAAGATACTTGCATTTATTTTGTTAATTTCTGCCCAAACGTTAAAATTCTTTCTTCTTAACCTTAGAATTGTAAAGTCTCACTAGGCATTCTTGCCTCCTGGTTCTGATATGACACACATTTTCTACTCACAGGACAGAGCAGGCTAAGAAACTGGGCATTCTTTTATTTATTTATTTATTTTTTCCCTTTTGTCTTTTTTCGTGACCGGCAACAGATCGCAACCCTCAGTGTCGCGCCCGTACCGGACCGGGACCGGCAACGGGATAGCAACCCTCGGTGTTGCGCCCGCACCTCGCTCAGCCAGTGAGCGGCTGGTCTGTATGTGGGATCCGAACCCTTGGTGGGAGCGCTGCCCGAGCTCTCAAGTGGCGCACTGTAGCAGTGTGCCACCGGGCAGGCCCCAAGGGCATTCTTTTAAAAGATGTACATTTGGGGGCCGGCCCAGGGGCGCACTGCTACAGTGCGCTGCTTGGGAGCGTGGTGGCGCTCCCGCCGAGGGTTCGGATCCCACATACAGACCGGTTCCTGCTCACTGGCTGAGCGAGGTGCGGGATCAATACCGAGGGTTGCGATCCCGTTGCCGGTCCCGGTCCGATACAGGCGCGACACTGAGGGTTGCAATCCGTTGCCGGACACGAAAAAAGACAAAAAAGGAACAAAAAAATAAAATAAAATAAAAGATGTACATTTGTTCATGTGTCACCAAGAAAACTGACTCCTGCCTGGACACGTATGCACACTCGGGTGAAAATGTCCTTAATTGTTTCCACTGCCATATTCATTCCTCCTTTATAACTCTGTTGGTAAGAGAAGGGAGGCTGAAATTGAGCTGTCATTGAGTCAAAACAAGAAAAAGAGGAGCCTGTCACCTGGATAGAGCTGGATTACAGACAGGTAGGAAAGCCTGGAGCTTCCCTTCTTCAGGTTAAACATGTGTTCAGTTAAGTTTGTTGAATGACTAAATAATGAATATTGCTTAAAAAGCAAAGCCATTCTCCTAAAGAGCCACAGTAACACTGCAGACTCTTAAAAGTTATTTGAACTTACTTTGGGGATATTTTAGATCCAGTTCTAGAACAATTAATTTTAAGGAGCAGTGCCATTTCATTTCACAGAACTAACAGATTCCAATTAGCCTGCCCTGGTTTCTGATAATCCTTGTAGGTTTTTGCTGAATTTCACATGGGTCTGTGCTGTCTCTTTCCCTGGATGGCAGACTTCTCCAGGGATGGGTTGCCGTGCCTCCTTTCATGTCTACACTGCATGCTTGAAGGCGTGACCAGATGTGGAGCCCATACTTGGTTAAAGCAAGTGCTTGAAATTAATTCATTTTGTAGCAAAGCTGTAGAGGGAAAAAAGCACTTTAGACCCACAAAACCCTGGCCATGCCCCTTCATCTCTCTGGCCATCAGTTTCTTTTTCTGAGAAATGGAAATACCAGCACCTGTTCCTGCCTGCTTCCAGGGAGCAGTGAGCTTCACCATGAGGGTGGCTTGAAAACTCCCTGTCCTAATGTCGGAGATGCTCAGTCCCTATTCATTTCATTTTGCATCTCATCTATGAATTCTTGTATTTGGCCTCACTCAGGGCTGCTGAAGAGCAGAACCAAGAGATCATATTAAACAGGAGCTCCCCATGGCTCCATTCTGCATTATTACACACCCTGGGGTGGTAGGGAGTCACGCCTTGGGAGAGGTTTGTAAGGAGAGAAAGCAGGCAGAGATTTCTTAGCAGAAGTCAGAGATGCCTTCCTCGAATAAGATGCCAAGCCACTCTAAGACCTCTTTTGTTACAAGTCTGGTTATTAAATAAACACCCGCCAATGGAGAGACAGTTTGAGACAGCATGGGGGGACGGGAGACAAGCCACTCACCATCCGGCATGTCTCTTTGGAGAGTAAGCTCCTGTTTGTCACCGGGGAGGGAAACGATGGCAGTGTGGCTCTTGAAAAAAGGAGGCTGGGCCCTCCCTCACACCCAGAGAACTTCAAGGAGGCAAAGGGTCTTCACCACAAGCAGAACACCACACTGCTCTACAAGGAACCAGCGTGCCCTTCGGAACTGTGAGAACCCAGCTACTGCTAATATCATCTAGCCTGGAAGGTGGCAGCAAAAACCAGCCACAGAGAATGCGGAGCCGGCCTGGATGCGTGGGTGCCCCACCCGAGCCTTTGTCAGCTCTGCGGGCCACCAGCAGAGCCCACACCAGTCGTTACATGGAGACCTTGTCCCCGTAGAGGGGGTTTGTCTGTCAGCTGCTGTGGTAGTGGAGCAGCAAGAAACCACTTCTTTCTATGTTTAAAAATGCCCTTTCGGGGTACACCATACCATTCCTGTACAGATTGGCACGAGGCCCTTCCCCAATTCTCCTTCAGCTGCCCTTCAGGGCACAGCCATTCTCTCTTCTAGGGGTCATGGAACAAGATCCACCTGAAAAATCACCTGTCAGTGATGCACGGAAGTAGAGCAAAGTCCGTGCACAGGTTTTCCAGAGCTCTGCAACAGATGCCTGAGGAAGGGGCATCTTCTTGGGGCAGGTAATACTTTGTTATGTTTTTGCTGGAAGATCCTAAAACCAGAGGGTGATGAACCTCCTTGAGAGGACTCAGTACGACCTGCAATTCCGTCCCTTGAGCTCGGCGTGCGGAGCTCTGGACATCGGGGCGCTGCGGCTCCGCGGGACAGCGGATAAACCGAGAACTACTCTCTCCCGGACGCGATGGCTTGTTCCTGCCTGCGCACCCTGGGCAGGATTCTACTTTCAGAACACCCAACTTCGCTGCCTGCAAGGAACGAACAGCTCACCTCTTCCGCTAGATGGCGCTATTTCCCCTAATCCGTCCGCAAAACACCCAATTTATAAAACAAATACAATCCAACGCCATCGGAAACCACACCACATAATAGCAGCTCACGGGCTCCCATTAAAATCTCAATTTGGGGGAATTGATTCTACCTCCGAGCAAATCTAATGCAATTACATTAATACGATACAACCAAGAATTGCATCCAAGCGTCCCTCACATGGGCCCTCCCTCTAAATACACCTGTCCCCCTGCCCTAGCTTTTACCCTGGATGAGCTACGGAGCGAGCCAGGCTCTGATTGTCGCTGTGCCCTGCCCGCCGTGTCCCCCAGTCCACTTAGGAACGCCGGGGCTGCTCGGGAATCCTAGCCCTTAACGCTCGACACAAATCCCCCACCTTCCTGCGCACCGGCGTGCCCAGGCAATGGGCCGCTCCGACCCGAGCCCGGACGGTGCACAGCGCCGACGCCCCCGCTCGCCCCGCGGCCCCGCAGCTCGGCGCGGAGCGGAAGGCGGGGGCCCCGGGCGACGCGGGCCAATGGGGGTTCACGGCGGGACAGCCAGGTGCCGGCTCCGTCCGAGGCTCGCGGGCCGGGTGGAGCGGCCACGCCGTGAGGAGGTGGTCCCGCCGGAGAGAGGGAGCTCCCAAACGGTGCACAGTGGAAAGGACGTGCGCCGCGTCTGCCCAACCACGCGCGCTGCCGGCTGCCCGGGGGAGAGCATTTTAGGAAAACAGAACAAACACCAAACCACAAAAACTTTCCTGCTGCCAAGAGCTAAAGCGATCGAGGAGCAAAAAACCTCCAAATCTGGGCAAGACGGGAGCAAGATGAGACGCGGGGTTGGGAAAACCAAAGCAGTGCCATGGCCCCAGCAAGTGTCGGCGGCGCCCTGGGGATGTCAGAGCCGGGTCCGCCCGGCTCCCGGGCCGCGCTTACCTTAGCGGCTGCATGAGCCCCTGCGGCCCACGTAGGGTGGCGCTGGCGGGGCTGCGGGCGAAGAGGGGGTGCCGGGGCGCCGCTCGTCGGCCCCGGGGCAAGGTGGGAGGGGCTCGGCCGGCGCTCGTCCC